ATTCTCCGCTATAAACCCTTCTATCTAATATTTCCTGCTGCTCGCACTCAAGAAAACTCTGGGAAGCTGTGGGGGTGGTGGGTAAACGCCCCACACCTCTGGAAGAGCAGCAAGCACTCCTAACCGCTGAGTCCTCCTGCCAGCCCCGGGTTCGTATTTTGTGTTGGAGTCTAGCTGAATAGCTTCTCACTTCAGCCTCCAAGGTGTAGACATTACAGGCACTTGCCACCATGTCCAACCCATAATGGATTAGTTAATTTATCAACTAATGATTTAATTAATTAATGATAAGGTCTTTTGTCTAGTGTGGCCTCAAATTATGTAGTTGAGGATGACCCCGAAGACAGGACGATCCCCTCTCCTCCCCCACCTCCTGAGTGCTGGGATGTCAAGCACAGATCTTTAAGCTTTGGTGTATGTGGTGTTGGGGACCTAGGGATGGAACCCAGGGCTTCACGCATGCTGGGCAAGCATTCTCCTGCCTGAGTTACATACCCTGTGCCCAACTAGGAACTTTTATTTATTTACTTATTTATATTTGAGACAGGGTTTCTCTGTGTAGCCCTGGCTTTTCTGGAACTCACTCTGTAGACCAGGCTGGCCTCAAACTCAGAGATCCACCTGCCTCTGTCTCCGAGTGCTGGGATTAAAGGAGTGCGCCACCACACCTGGCCCAGCTATGAATTTTTAAATAGACTTTAGAGAACAATTTCACAAGAACAGCAACAGCAAGTTTACAGGAAAACGGAAGCCACAGGGACTTCCCACAGAGGCCCGCCCCCTTCTGGGTTACCCCACAGGCTAGCAGAGGTACAATTGGCGAGCTGACACTGGTCCGTTGCAGTCACTCACTGAAGTTCACGGAGTGCATCCAGGGCCCTCTCGGCCTGTGCTTCCTATGGGTTTCACAGATGAACGCTCTGCGTGTGTCTAGCATTATGTCTTATGAAGAACAGTCTCGATGCCCTTTAAAAGGTGCCTGTGCTTTCCAATCCATCATCCTTCCCATCTTGCTGTTCAGTTTTGTTTCTGTTTTGAATTCCATAAGGAAAAATGTCAGGGAGTGATCAAACCATCTTATTTTACTGCCTTATTATAAACATTTTCAAACTTCTACCATGCTTAGAAAGGACTGACTCCGGGCTGGTGAGATATCTCAGAACTTGAGTAGGCATAGACTGTTTACAGCCATCTGTAACTGAAGTTCCAAGGGATCCACCGCCCCCTTCTGGCCCCCATGGGTACTGTATGTACGTCATGTCTGGGCATACATCCAGGCAAAACACTGAAAACATAAAATAATATACATGTAAAGGACAGACATAAGGACCACCGGCAGACCTTCCACTAAAGCCAGCAGTTGACTGGGGATATGGCTCAGTGACCGAGCACTTGCCCAGTGTGAGACCCTGTTCTATGCCCAGCATGGGGGAGTCTCGTGTAGCCCAGGCTGACCTTGGATTCACTATGTAGCCTAGGCTAACCTAAACTTCCGAACCCTCCTGTCTCCACCTCCAAAGTGCTGGGATTAGAAGTGTGTGCCACCGTGACTAGTTTATGTGGTGCTAGGGATGGAATCTAGGACGTCGAGCACGTAAGCAAGCGCTTTACCAACTGAACTACATCCCCAGCCAAAGCCCACACATCCTGGGGCTAGGCAGAGAGCTGTGTGGCAGAGCACAGGCTTAGCCTGACAAGGCCCTGCTGTGGTTAACATTTGCCACTTCCACTCCCTGCGATCTGTTTGTTTTGCTTTATTTATCTCTCAGAATCTTTCGAAAATAAGCTGCAGACACTGTGGACACACAATTCATAAATACTTGGTAAACACACCGGAGTAATGCCGACCTCAGGAGTAATGCCGACCTCAGGCACAGTCCCTGGGCCACAGCTGCACCCACCTCAAGCCTCAAGGGATGCAGGACTCCACACTCTAACGTCCAGTCCACATTCAAACATCCTTCGTTGCCTCAAGAGTTCTTTTTTTTTTTTTTTTTTTTTAATTTTTAAATTTTCTGGAGCTGAGGACCGAACCCAGGGCCTTGTGCTTGCTAGGCAAGCACTCTACCACTGAGTTAAATCCCCAACCCCAAGAATTCTTTTTTTAAAAATGTACTTATTTTTATTTTATGTACATTGGTGTTTTGCCTGCATGTACGTCTAGTTACAGACAGTTGTGAACTGCTATGTGGGTGCTGAAAATTGAACCCAGGTCCTCTGGAAGAGCATCTACTTTTCTTAACCACTGAGCCATCTCTCCAGCCTTCTTTCTTTTCTCTCCCCCCCCCCCCCCCCCAACCTGGGGCTCATCAATTAGCCAAACTGACTGGCCTGAGAACCCTTGGGATCTCAGCATTGGGATTCCAGGTACAGCCTTAACACACAGCTTTTCACGTGCGTGCTGGGGCATCTGAACTCAGGTTCTCATGGTCGCCATCAAGCATTCTGGCTCCCTGAGGAGTTCCCCTCTCCTCAGACTCTCTCTCTCTTCTCTTTAAGACAGTCTTACTGTACTGCCCTAGCCGACCTTGCACACCTGGCTCACATGGTCCTTGCTTCAGCCTCCCCCAAGTCTGTGGTATAAGTAGAACACTGATATCTAACAGACCCTTTCTCTGAAGGCCGGGGCCTCTTGTGTGCTACGCAAGTGCGCAGAGCACTGTACTACACTGTAGCCCAGACACTGACTTCAGAGAGTTTGTGCTCCATCTACAGTAGCACAGAAGTGACCGTTTTTGCCATTAGAAGAGTGTCCGAGGGACATAGTCACCATGTACAGCTGTTGCCCCGTCCCCTTTCATCCTGTAGAACTGAAACTCCAGGCTCCTGGAGGGGTGGAAGAACATTGACTTTTTTTTCCCCCACAGACAGGTGTCACTCTATAGACCTGGCTGGCCTCGAACTTACAGAGATCCACCTGCCTCTGCCTCCTGAGTGCTGGGATTAAAGGCGTGCTGCACCATGCCTAACCCTGTGCTTTGATTTTTTTTGCCAACGTGCTGAAGTTGACAGTTTCCAAGGTGTTCTGAGTCACATTAAGATCTGGTCTCAGTTCCAGCCACTAAAGCTAGTCCATTCACTAGCAAGGTGGACGTCTCAGTGGAAAATCTGTGCAAAAGGAAGTCAGATGAAGCCCAGTGGTACATCCCAGTAAAGTTAGCAAAGGTCAGAGTCTCCGCTGGTGCACTGGTTTGGAAGGAAATGGTCCCCATAAGGAGTGGCACTATTAGGAGGTATAGCCTTTTTGGAGGAAGTGGGGGTGGGCTTTGAGGTCTCCTATGCTCAAGCTTCTTGTAGTGAGACAGACCACTTCCTGTTGCCTGCCTATCAAGATACAGGACTCTCAGCTCTAGCACCATGTCTGCCTGCATGCCACCTTACAGCATCATGTGATAACAGACTAAACCTCTGAACTGTAAGCCACCCCAATTAAATGTTAGTTCTTTGTAAGATTTGCCATGCTCATGGTGTCTCTTCACAGCAACAGAAACCCTAGCCAAGACAGCTGGTCGTAGCAATTTAAAAAATAGCTATTATAAGCTGAGCATGGTGGAACATGCCTGTAATTTCAGTATGTAGAAGGCAGAGGCAGGAAGATTGTGAGTTTAAGACCAGCATGGACTACATAGCACGATCCTGCCCCCAAGGACAGAAAATCAAAGACAAAAATATGAACTACAATAGCCAGAATGCTGTTGCATGGCAATGTGACTGTGTGAATGGTCTCCAGCTCTCTCTGGCTGAACTGAAACAGATTTCAGCCGAGTCCTGCAGCAGACTTACCCCGTACCTGGATCAAGCTTTTCTCCTTTCTGGGTCTGGCAGCCACATCCACAAAACAATGGTGTCGGCTCCATGCTTGACCTGAGATGTTCTTCACTTACAGCTGCTTAAAGATATTTTGAAAGCCAGAGAAGCTAAAGTTAGAGCTGCAGCAAGTATATAAGTTGTGAAGATTTGAGTTTGCAATTTTTTTTTTAGGTCTGAGAAAGTAGTTTGAAAATGTGAATGTCCAGATATGTTATGAGAATGTTTGAATGAATGACTGCATGAGTCTGAATGAAAGATCTGCATGTACTAAGGATGCAGGCCTGAGTTGGGTCTGAAGTTGCTGGAGCTGCTAGATGCAGACACCTTTATGAGGCTGAGTTTGAGGAGACTAAGGAGGCGCTGAAGGGCTTGAGAGATTTAATAGTTTCCCTTTCACAAAAAATTGGAGACTCTGCAGGTCCTCTTCCTACTGTAATGGTTGGATTAGAACGGCCTAAAGGGCCCGCCTACATGGCTGGAGTCCCTGTTTCCAGAGACCAGGCTGCAGGAGAGGAGGCAGCATGGCTACTCCCCTCCCCTTTCCCCAGGGAAAAGCAGCGGCAGAGGCAGGGTTGCTTCTTGGGAGGGGGCCGTGGGCCTCCGGGCATAATGCCTGGGTCTCAATGTCGCTGTGCAGGGATGGCTTGGCCAGCACACTTGCACACACGCATGCACGCCGACCCAAGCGGGCACTCGCTGTGGGCCGTGGGCATGGCGCTGGGGTTTTTGCCAAGAGCAGAATGTGTGGGCAGCAGCGCAGCAGCTACTGAGCTGGCAGAGCGAGGACTCCCAGCGGCGGAGGGTGAGTCTCCTTGAAACAGACATAAATGAAACAAAGCCCTCCATGCGGCCAGAGGCTCTCCTTGAGGTGGAGCCATGCTCTAGGCTAAACTGAGCAAGATCAATTTACAGCTTCAACAGGGTCTTGCCCGTGCGGGGTTAGTAACTGTCCCAGAGAAAATGCAAAGACAACCCCTTTTTCAATATTTGGGACATATTTTGTATCCTAAAGAAATTAAGACTCAAAAACTGGAAATTAGGAAAGACAGCTTTAAAACTTTGAATGATTTTCAAAAGTTATTAGGGGACATTCAATGGCTACAACCTTATTTAAAATTATCTACTGGTGGTTTAGAACCTTTAAGTGATATTTGAAAAGGAGATAATGATCCTAATTCACCCAGACAATTAACTGAAAAAGACAGGCAGGTCCTTTTACAGGTTGAGAATGCTATTCATTATCAGCAAGTACATTATATAAATTATGATCAACCAGGCAAGCATATATCTTGCCCACTAGACATACTCCTACAGCAATATTATGGCAAAACGGTTCTTTTTTATGGTTACATCTTCCTGTTCTGCCAGCTACAGTACTAAACCCTTATTATGAAGTAGTAGCTTGTTTAGTACAGAAAAGCCAGATGGAATCTAGGCGATATTTTGGTACAGAACCAAATGTGATCAATGTTCCTTTTACTAAACAACAAGTTGATTGGTTGTTTCAAAATAATAATTCTTGGACAATTGCTTTTTCTCAATTTTTGGGCCAAATTAATAATCATTTTCCATTTGATCAATTGTTGCAGTTTGCTCAAATGCATTCCTTTATATTTCCCAAGGTTGTGAGGAAAGAACCTGTAAGAGATGCTATGCTAGTTTTTACTGATGGATCCTCCAATGGGAGAGCTTCTTACATCATCAATGGTAAAGGTTATGTAGAACAAACAACTCCAGCTTCAGCTCACATGGTAGAATTGAGAGCTATGACTATGGTTTTTCAGATTCTTAAAGATAATTCACTTTATTTATATACCGATAATCATTATATTTATAGAGCTCTTCAAGTTATAGAAGCTGTTCCCTGCATTGGTACTAGTAATGGTCAGGTTAGGATGCCATTTCAGCAAATTCACGATGCCATTCATCAAAGAAAGTTACCATGCTTTGTGGGTCATAGTAGAGCTCATTCCAATCTTCCTGGCCCTTTAGCTGATGATAATGCATCAGCTGATAAATTAACACGGATGTTCATCTTATCCCAGGTAAAATATCTCAACAGTCGCAAGCTTTTCATCATCAGAATAACAAAGTCCAAAAAAAAAAAAAAAAAAAAAAAAAACCAATCTGGCCTTACCAAGGAAGTTGCTCGTCAGATCGTGAAACAATATGGGGTGTGCCCACAAAGTTCCTCTGTTCCTCACTTTGAAGTAAACCCTGGAGACCGCCTTCCTAACCATTTATGGAGAATGGATGTTGCTCCTATTATGGAATTTGGTAAATTAAAATATGTGCATATGACAATAGAGACTTACTCAGGATGTTTGACGGCCAGTTGCCAAGATGGAGAAGCCACTACTCCTGTAATTGCAAACTGCCTGAAATATCTCTCCAATACAGGGATACCAAAAGCCATTAAATCTGATAATATATCTGGATATATCAATAAAGCATTTCAGCAATTTTGTTCCCAATAAAAAATTGAGCATAGAACAGGCATTCCTTATAATCCTCAAGGACAAGGCATCGTTGAGCAAGCCCATGGCGGTCTCAAGATGCAGCTTCAAAAAATTAAGAGGGGAGAGCTGTACCCTCAATCACTGCATAGTACATTGAATCATACCCTCTTCATTTTGAATTTTTTGAATGTGGATGCCCATGAACAATCTGCCATGGACAGATTTTGGCATGATGGCACCTGAACAACTTTTGCTTAGGTGAAATGGACTGATCCTTGCTCTGGATTATGGAAAGGACTCTGTTTTAATCTGGGGTCGAGGGCATGTTTGTGTTTTTTCACAGGAAGAAAATGAAGCTTGATGGGTGCCTGAGCACTTGGTGCAGTGCATAGAACAGAGGAATGTCAGCTCTGATGATACCGTAGCTGCTGACACTCCCCTAGAAGAATTAGAGTGAGACTTGCTGAACCTGTGTTCCTGATCATCCAGTGTTACATCCTGCAGTCTGGGGAGGGAAGGAATGATTCCTGGCTTCTTGATAGACCTGCTGTACAAATTTCCTAGACCTCTGTAAGTTCCAATCATTCTAAATCTGGCCAAGGAATGCCTATCTGTTTGTGACTGGAAGCTTGGCCGTTTGTCCACATTACATCTTGGGATTCGGAGGTCATCTTTGCCAATATAATGTTTATCTGCTGATTGCCCGAGGGAACAGAAGGCCTGGAGAACAGTTGCCTCAGTTTTCCTTCTGTGGGAAAGAGACTCACTGGAGCAATCGAACACTGTTACAGAGGCAGTATGCTAGATGGTTGAGGAATCAAATTGGAGGTACTGAAAAGGCCTCCCAGACTGATGAGGAGAAATTGGGACAAAAGTATTGCTGCTATTTGATGCTCTGGGACTGGACAGCTCAAACATATGTTTGGAAGTTGGTGGCAGTGATGCACTGGACTTTAGGAGAGGAAAAAGAAAAGATTAAAAAATTGTGGGGTTACTGATACCTCACCCACAACAAAAACATTTTCTTGTCCCTAATTTGGATCATAGTTGTTAAGAATTGTAATTTAACCAATTATGTGTCCATTGCTAAATTCATATTAAAATTAGGATGATAACCTGTGTAATATTAAGATATTGTAAAAATAGAGCACAAGCTGAATGCTTTATTTGAAGTAGTACAATTGTTAAAGATAAGAGCTCATTTGAAATGTCAGTCTAAATTTAACTAGATATGTGTAACCTCTTCTGTTTACAAGGAAAGTATTACTGGATGGAAAAAGGTGAGAGCTCATCTGAGAGGAATTTGGTATGATGCTAAAGGGGTCTTTAGATTTGATGCAGTTGCATCAGGAGTTTAATGATTTAAAAAAGGCGCAGTTGGATTTTGAGGCAGCTAAAATTGATGTGGACATCCTGGACCATTTAAAAAGGCCATTCTGTCTTGATCATCCTTTATTCCTTTACTAGGAGGTATATCGATCATAGGAGAAGGTGTATTGCTATGATTACTCAAACTACTTGCAAGTTCTTAATGGAAATCTGATACAGAGCTGTATAAAGTTAAGCTCTGCACCCTCCCTTGCCAGAGGCTGGTAGTCAGAGATGGGTAAGTCCTTCTTGCTGGCTGTCAACCTATGACAGAGTATACTTGGAGAAAAATATATCTCGAAGATGGGTAAGACTTGTCTAATGGAAGAAAGTGACCTAAGACAGACACAGTTATCTGTGGGTCTGAGGAACACTTTATAAAATTATAAAGAAGGAGGAATTGTGGGGGCCCACAGAGACCCCAGCTTGTGGCTTGTTTTCATCTTGACTCAAGTTCAGAGAGTCCGAGCTTGTTTCCCTTCTGTGAGGCTACATAATAGGATGTTTTGGTCAACGGTGTGGTTACCAGATGTCTTTTACTTCAAGGCCTATTTACAGGATGCTTTGCTGTAAGGCATGGTCACCAAATGTCTTGAGTACTAAGGAGATGTTTACACTTAACTGTACGTTGTACTTTGAACCATGATGTCCTTGAAAGGGGAAGGTCTTTTTGCCCCTCTTTGCTTTGGGGTATATAAAGGCTGTGAGCAATAAAATCAATGTCTGCGGTATTGACCCAGAACCTCCTGAAGCTATCCTGTGTCTGTCTTTTTCTTCATCTACATCTCATAGCTAGCATTTCCCAACTCCACGCTCTCCCCTTCAGAACCCGTTCAACAGGTCGAGCTGGACTCGACAGAACTACCCCTGGGCCCTAACAGCAGTTGCAGTTCCACAGGGTCGGCCACTCTGACCCATGGGTTTGAAAATCGTTGTGTCCCTAATGAATGGGAGATTGCTCTCTACTGCATTCTACCCAAGATGCACTGGGAAGAGGGCAATGAGATCCAGGGACCCCCTTCCCCCAGGGACCTCACCTCCAAGTCCATCTTCAAGGTAAGCACATAAGTGGTCCTGGCCAAGGTGTGGTCCCATCCATCACTGGCCCATCATTGTGTTAGCTTGGGTCTTCCCCACACTGTGAAATCTCTTTCCTGGAGAGACAGGCTACCCCTCTGTCACACTGTCCCCTATATGAGATTCCTAGGGGAAAATTCCAGTTCCTTGAGGTACCTTGTTTCAGCAGTTGAGATGGCCAGAGTGAGGGACACAAGCATGTCCTCATTCTTCCAAGCATGCCCGTTACAACACCACACCCAAACCTGAGCAACTTCCGGCATTGCTGTGGCCTGAGACTCATGCTTTGGCCCTTTAGGCCAGTGCTCCAACATCTGGGAAATACCAGCCACTGAGAATGTGAACATTCTCAGGATAATCTAGGGGCTCTGGGCTGGGAGGCTCCTTCCCATTCTTCTGCCTCTCAAGACAATGAGATTCTACTGGTTCTCAAGTACCCTAGACTGTATTAGCAGACACGCATGTCTGATTGTGACGGCTGGAACTAGAGACAGGATTTAAGAGTTTGAAAATAGAAGCCAAACTAGTGGTGGCGGCGGCGGTGGCGCACGCCTTTTGATCCCAGCACTGGGGAGGCAGAGACAGGACCTCTGAGGCCAGCCTGGTCTACAGAGTGAGTTCCAGGACAGCCAGGGCTACAGAGAAACCCTGTCTCAAAAAACAAAAAAGCAAACAAACAAACAAAAAACCCCAAAACCCAACAAAACAAACAAACAAGAGTCTGAAAATAGGGAAGACAGGAGTGGGCTGGTGAGATGGCTCAGCGGGTGAAGGTGTCTTGACACCTGAGTTTGATTTCCAGGCCCCACAAGCTTGAAGGAGAGAACCAGTTCATGCAAGGTGTCCTCTGACCTCCACCCCACCCCACAATCCCCCCAATAAATAAATGTTAAAAAAATAAAGAAAAACTATTTTCTTAAAAATATAGACCATAAATACACCCAGAAAACAAAAACAAAACCCACAAACAGAGCGCCCCCTGTCTGTCGTGCCCAGCATCCCTGCAGACTGAATGGGTCTCACCCGCACAAATGAACAGGCACGTGACCTGCACAGGGCCACTTGGCCAGCACTGGAGCTTCTGCAGACAACACCGGCTAGGACTTGGTGTTCCCCACATCACCTCAGACTCCCGTGACGTGTCATCTCTTTATCCGCTGGCTAATCTCCGATGCGCATCCACCAGGATGTGTAAGGACTGGCCCTTGCCATCATAACTAAAGGGGAAAGTGTACAAGGCAGGGCTCTGAGGACATGCACCGTGTCCTGCAGTCCTACGGCTATTTCAAAAGATGTTTTATCACCAAGGAAAACCCACCTCTATGAAGCGGTCCTCTCCATTACCTCCCCCTGCACCTAGCCCCAGGAAGCCACTAAGGTAGCCTCTGTTTCTGTGGGTGCCTCTTCTGGACATTTCACACATGGCGTATATGGGGGTGACCTTTCATGGCTGCTCTCTTCTGTGGAGCATGTTGTTCAGGTTTATTCCTGCTGGAGCATATATCAGCACTTTATTCTTTTTGCAGCTAAATAACATCCCCTGTTTTAGTTTTGCATCCTGTAGCTCTGATAAAGAACTCTTACAAAAGCACCATAAAGGAGAAAGGTTCCGGGTCACAGCCAGTCGGTCATTTGGGGGAACAGAGGCGGCAGGAGCCTGAAGCAGCTGGTTCGTTATATCCACAGCCAAGCGCAGAAAGCAAGGACTTGATGCACACACGCTAGTGCTCAGCATTTGATGCAGTTCAGGAGCCCCGCCCAGGGGATGGCCCCGCCCTCAGTTAAGATGGGTCCACCCACATCCATGAACTTCCTCAAGACAAATGTCGCAGACATGCTCAGGGGCATAGGTGTGCTGGAGGCTGCCGCTGAGGTGTCAAGCTGACAGTCCATACTATCACACTCCCTCAGGGACAGACTTCTCTCTTTTGTTTATTCATTTCCTTCCTTCCTCCCTCCCTCCCTCCCTCCCTCCCAACCTCCTTCCTTCCTTCTTTCTTTTTTTCTGTTTTTTCCAGACAGGATTTCTTTATGTAGCTTTGGAGCCTGTCTTGGAACTCGTTCTGTAGACCAAGCTGGCCTCGAACTCACAGAAATCCCCCTGCCTCCCAAGTCTGGCCTATTAATTTCATTCTTTGGTGGACATTGAGCTGATCTTACTCTTTGGTGATTATGAACAGCATAGGTTTTTGTTTTGTTTTTGGCCCTGCGCACCGCACCCCACCCACCCCCACCCCACCCCCACACAGTGGCTGGAAGGCGCAGGCCAAGGATGAATCGAATATTAGTCATTTCTATTTCCTTCCTTACATAACGGTCACTTTGCAAAGGCTTGCAGATGGTGGGCCACGGGGGTGCAGGGAGGCAGCAGCCGAGGAAAACCAGAAGTGGGTGGACAAAAACGGGCTGTTTTCTATCTTTTGTGCTTGCAACAGTGAGTCGAGGTAGCTGGAGTGTTTCTTCTGCCCGGGTCTGCGGAAGGAGGCTGGCTATCAGACAAAATGACATGGTAAGATGTTGAGAGATGTGCCGTAAATCAAAGCTAGGTGGGAAAGGCAGGATCCACCTACTAGGATGAGCTCCTTAGAGCAGGTCATTAAAATCCAATTGTTTCTTCACATTAAATTGCTGAAGTTAGGAGGAACCTATTTTAAATAAAGAGAAAATAGAGCGAGGGGGTAATTTCCTTTTAATTGTTGATGCAATTCGGAATAAATTAAGCTGCAATTAAGTCCCTTTACTTATGAGGCGATGGAGTGTGGACGCTCCGTGGGGGCCTCTTCAGCCCTTTGAAAATAAGACCGCTTTGTTTTCCGGATGGTTCTCTGGGGAGCGCCCAAGTGCTTCGAGACTTTGGCTGCTTCGGCGCGCCCTCTAGTGGCCAAGTGTGGAAGGTCCGGCAATTGCTCTCTTCCAAGAGGGGCCGGAACCTGGTGACTTCAGGAAGAGGTCTGCAAACTAAGCCCCCAACCCTCGGCGACACACACTTTAAAAAAAATATTTTATTTTAATTTTATTTTTTTGAGACAGGCTCTCTCTTTGCAGACTAGACTTGTCTTGAGCTCATGGTTTTTCCTGAAGCTGGGGATGTAGCTCAGGTTTTAGAGTGCTTGCCTCGCAAGCACAAAGCCTTGTTTGCATCCTGGCCACCTCACCCTGTGGTGGCTTGCCTGTCATTCCATCAAGAGATGAAGGCAGGAGGTCAGAATATAGACCCCTCAGACATATAGAAACTTCGAGGCCTCTGGGATAAAGGAAAGGAAGGGGAGGGGTGTCCTCTTGCCTCAGCCTCTGAGTACGATGGTTACAGAGCCACCATTATGTCTTCATCACATTTGAACTGAAATTCTGCCTCAGCATGAGGCACTTGGGGGGGAGGGGTCTTTAAACAAACTGCTTTGTTTTTAAATTTTTAAAAAGAGACTCATGTTGCTCCTTGAGCAGTCTCAGGTAATCCAAGCTAGCCTCAAACTCACTACGTAGCCGAGGATGTCCCTGAACTCCTGATCTTGCTGCCTCCTGATTCCTGGGGTGACAGACAGGTGCCACCGTGCTGCCCTGCTGTCCTTTTGATTTATTACTTGTTATTTTATTTAGAAGTTTTCATTACATTCATCTATTCATTTTGTGTGTCCAGGCTAGGGATACAGCTCCATGGTAAGGCCTGTGACCAGCATGCGTGAGTGTGGCTTGAATGAGGACGGACCCCACAGGCTCCTGTATCTGAACATTTGGTCTCCAGTTGGTGGTACTGTTTGGGGGAGATTATGGAGCCTCTAAGGTGGAGTCTTGCTGGAGGAAGTATGGTTGGGCTCCCTGAGGGAGCCGTTAGAATCCAAGCTACAGGGGGCAGGTTTGAGGATTTATAGTCTGACACTACTTTCTCTCTCTCTCTCTCTCTCTCTCTCTCTCTCTCTCTCTCTCTCTCTCTCTCTCTCTCCTTCTTGTGTGGACCAAATTTGATCATCCAGCTTCCTGCTCCTGGTATGTGCCATGCCTTCCCCACTGCGATGGACTCTCTCTCTCTGGACAAATTCGTAAGTTGCCTTTGGTGATATATTTTGTCACAAATACACCAAGACCCTAGGTTCTATCTCCAGGATTGCGCCCCCCTCCTCACCCCCAAAAAAACCCCTAACTCAAATGTTCTTGTGAGGGGGAGGGAGGTGTGTGCCGTGGTGCACAGATGGAGACAGAGTGTATTATGTCCTTTTTCTTTTCTTCCTTTCCTCTTTTTCCCCTTTTTTGGGGGGTGGGGGATGGGGAGGCCCTCCCTGTACAGCTCTGGCTTTCCTAGAACTCACTATATTAAAGGCATGCGTCAGCACGCCTGTCCTTGGACCACGTGGGTCCCAGGAATCAAACTGAGGTGGTCAGGCTTGGTGGCAAGCTATCTTGCCCCTCCCCACTTAAATCCCATACTCTGAGTTACATTTTGCACACCATTAGGCTCTTGCCGTTTTTCTCTTTGGTACTGAGGATGGAGGCCAGGGCCTTGGACAGGCTGCGCACACATTTTGAGTCTGAGCTACACCAGCCTCATCACCAGCCTTTCTGTGTAGCCTGTGCTGGACAGCATCTTGGGTCACATCCAGACCCACTTCCTATTTTCCAACAGCTGGGTCCATTTTACATTTCATTAACCAGTCCCTATCAATGCCACTTACGTCACATCCTCCTTTCTTTAAATCACAGCAGTGAAGCAATGAAAACCTTCGCCCCATTGTCTTCGCATATCTGTGGGCGTGCTCCTGGCGGCAGAAAAAGCAGACGAGGACAATCTTAGTGGTCCTTCTCCCCATCCCTCCTCGCCCCCCCAGACACTCACTGAGCACCACCTGGTTACTGGGCTGGGAGCCGAGGCTAGAGACCCTCAAGCTGTGGGCCCCAGGTGAGGGAGCCTGCGGTGTGTTCCAGCGAGGAACCCTTTAGGAAATGAACGGTGGAGTACCCTGTGCACAAGCCAGAGCAGCAAGTGTCCGGTGGAAACACAGGCATAGGAGAAACCAGGACGGCACCCAGGAGGAGGCAACCACCGCTAGAACGGGAGGGCAACCTCCCGAACACAAGGAGGTGGGGGTGGGGGAGGGGGGAGGGGGGAGTGTTAGGTGGTAACCAGAGAGGAGGAGGGGCCAGGTAACTCAGACCTTTCAGTTATTCCAGGAAGTTTAATCTTGTGAGTCTTGCTCTTGAGAGTGAGATCTGAGAATCCTGCCTGCACCCTCAGGAAGCAGGTGTCTTTATTTAACAATGAACTTCTGAGAACCCACCCGACCAGATGCCTCTTCTCTGGAGGTGATTCTTGAGTCCTATGGTTACTTGTGTGCGTGTGGTGTAAGTGTGTGTGTGTGTGTGTGTGTGTGTGTGTGTGTGTGTGTGTGTATGTGTGCAGTGTGTGTGTGGTGGTGTATGTGGTGTGAGTGTGTGTGGTATGTGTATGTGGTATGAGTATGTGTGTAGTGTGTGTAAGTGGTGTGTGTATGGTATATGTGTGGTGTGTATATGTGGTATGAGTGTGTGTGGTGTGAGTGTGTGTGGTGTGCATGGTGTGTGTGGTGTGAGTGTGTATGTGTAGTGTGAGTGTGTGTGGTGTGTATGTGGTATGTGTGTGGTGTGAGTGTGTGGTGTATATATGTGTGTGTTGTGTGTGTGGTGTATGTAATGTGTATGTGGTATATATGTGTGTGTTGGGTGTTGTGTGAGTGTGCGGTGTATGTGTGTGTGTGTGTGTGTGTGTGTGTGTGTGTGTGTGTGTGTGTATTGTATGTCATTGGGCACCCTGGGCTGTTTCAGAGTCACTGAAGTCTGGGGACTCTGCTGGTGGCAGTTGTAATTGCATTATTTCATGTAAGATGACCTCTTTTCTTTTTGGTCTGGGGTGGAACCCAGGCTCTGTGCATGCCAGACAAGCCCTGGACACCAAGCTGTGTCCCAACCCAAAGGCATTATTTTAAAACAATTCCCATTACCAAGTATCAAAGTTTATTTTAGTCATTCCCAAGGGAATCTTTTTTTCCCCTGGGGCGGGGGCAGTTTCCAAAAGCAGTTGAGTGACAGAGTTTTTGTATTAATTAGGAAAAGGATGCAAAATAAGATTGCCAAGCAGGTGTTGGTGTGAGCCTGTGGCTCTAGTTTCTCAGGAGACAGGGCTGCTAGAGCCCAGGAGATTGAGGCTAGCCTGGGCTACAAACGGAGACCAAATCTCACGTTTTCCTTCCTCTGTCCGTCTGTTTTTCTTTTCTCTTTTTCTTTCTTTCTTTCTTTCTTTCTTTCTTTCTTTCTTTCTTTCTTTCTTTCTTTCTTTCTCTCTCTCTCTCTCTCTCTCTCTCTCTCTCTCTCTCTCTCTCTCTCTCTCTCTCTTTTTCTTTTTGAGACAGGGTTTCTCTGTAACCCTGGCTGTCCTAGAACTCACTCTGTAGACCAGAATGGCCTTGAACTCAGAGGTCTGCCTGCCTCTGCCTCCTGAGTGCTGAGATTAAAGGTGTGCACCACCATGACTGATTTGTTTCCTTTCTTAGAAAAGGTTTATTTTTATTATTCTTAATTATGTGTACGCCTGTGTGTCTGTGTGTGGGAATGTACGTGAGTGCAGGTACCCTGGAGGCCAGAGGCATTGGCTTTCCCTGGAGACAGAGTTGCAGGTGGTTGTGAGCCGCCTGTCGTGGGTGCTGGGAACTGGACTCTGGTCTTCTACAAGAGCAATACACACATTCAGCCACAGAGCTGTCTCTCCAGCCTCTCCAAATAGCTCTAAGTCATAACTGTCAGATCTGGTGTGTTAAATTTTGACATGATTGTAGCTGGAACTACAAGCCATGTTTGGGGTTAGCATCATTAATGGGCTAGAAAAACTACAATTTAGGCTGGGTGTGAGGTGTTTGCCGGACATCTTGGCATTGTAGTTGAGGCAGGAGGATCAAGAATTTGAAGCCAGCCTAGACTACATAGCAAGCAATCGTTTCAAAAGAGTCATAACGTCTCTATATTCATGGTCTTGTAGGTTGTCAAGGGGCTTCATTCAATCAGTTGTAAATTGTCAAACAAAATCCTGTGGCAAAAGGTACATCTCAGGCTATCAAGATGGCTCAGTTGGAGAAAAATGTTGCCATGTAATCCTGAAGACCTGAGTTCAACTCTCTGAACCCACAAAAAAATGGAAGGAGAGAACTGATTTCATATTGTCCTCTGACCTCCATATTTGTGCCATAGTACATGCACATACACAGACACATACACAGACACACACACAGACACACAGACAGACACACACACACAGACACGTAGACACAGATACACAGACACACACACACACACACACACACACACACACACACACACACTTAAAAACAGCTACATTATTACCAAGAGTAGCCGAGGACCAACCGAACAGGCTGATCTGTAAAAGCTCTGGCCAAGGTGTGAGCTAACCTTTACTACAAAGAGTCAGAGACTAATTTCATCTTTGTTCTGTGCATGGAAGGAACAGAGACATAATGACACACATGGCTGTGCTCCCAGAAAACGTTCTTACTAAGTCAGGAGTGGTACTCCAGGGCTGTGATCCTAGCACCCAAGGGGGAGCCAGAGGGTCGAGTTTCCCGGACAGCCTGGGCTGTCTTGTGACACTATCAGAGAAAGAATGAAGCAGGCTGTGGGGGAGAGCAACAGAACTTTAACAGAAAGATGGAAAAACAAATTTGGCTTGTAGCCATAGTTGGTTAACTCTATTTGGCTCAATGTGTAGTAAGTACCTAACAATTACTTTCAAATGGCAATTTCAAAATCAGTTCATTTTTATGGCTTTGCATACTGCAGGCAATGGAAATTAGGGAGTTTTTAATGGTCTGTACTTTAAAATACAGTCTTATCATCCAGCATGGATGTTATGGGTTTGTTTGGTTGGGTTTTTTTTTTTTTTGTTTGTTTGTTTTTGAGACAGGGTTTCTCTTTGTAGTTTGGTGCCTGTCCTGGATCTCACTTTGTAGACTAGGCTGGCCTCGAACTCTGCCTCCCAAGTGCTGGGATTAAGGATTTTATGTTTTATGTATGTTTGTTGAAGAAATGAATAGCCAGGCATGGTGGCTTGTCTCTTCAACCGGAGCGGGAGATGGGGAGGGGAGAAGGATGTTGAGTTCAACCGCAAACAAACCAACAATCACCCAAACCAACATCACCCAAACCAACTAAACAACTCCCTCCTCCGCCTAACCTGGCACCATACAGCATTGATATTCCCAAGTCTCCCAGCAGGTGGTGCAAGAGGCTAATTCACGGCGGAGCATTCCTGAAGCTTCAGACCACTGGTGGATTTACCTTTTGAAACATTGCTTCAAACATCACCCCACAAAGTCTGTGCAATGACTTATGTTGACAGCACATTAAAAATATCCTGGGGGGTCTCTTTAAAACTCGTCGAATCTGCCGGGCGTTGGTGGCGCACGCCTTTAATCCCAGCACTCGGGAGGCAGAGGCAGGCGGATCTCTGTGAGTTCGAGGCCAGCCTG